ATATTATTATTATTATTATATTATTATTATTATTATATTATTATTATTATATTATTATTATTATTATATTATTATTATTATTACTCTTCATCTCTTTTGTGCCGTCTCTCTTTGTTTTTTTTTACTCGGACTGTCTTTGTTTTATTTGTTTTTTAAATGTATATCTTTTTGTGCTTCTCTGTTTTATTTTTTTATTTGTATATCTTTTATCTTTTATCCTTTATTTATTTTTATTTATATTTATTGTTTAGTTTTTTGTTTTTGTTTGCAGTTGGTTGCGAGACAAAGAGATGAACAGTCAGCTGTATATGCGTCTTCTCCCCACAGGTATATTTTCTTTTATTATTTTTATTATTATTTTATTTATTAATTAATTATTATTATTATTATTATTTTGTTTTTATTCTTCTCTTTGTGGCTGCGCCTGCATATTTTTTGTTGTTTATATGCGGAGGGTTTTATATTTTTATGTTTTGTTTGTTTTATTTGTTGTTTGTTTTTCTTTGTTTTATCTTTTTTCTTTTGTCTCATCTTCTTAACCCATTACGCCATTTGACTTCTCTTCACCAGAGGTTTAGGGTTTATGGTTTATGGTTTAGGGTTTAGGGTTTAGAGTTCGTAGTTTAGGATTTGTATTTCGTCTGTTAGGGTTTGTGGTTTGTGTTTTAGGGTTTGTAGAATAGGGTTTGTGCTTTAGGGTTTATGGTTTAGGGTTTGTGGAATAGGGCTTGTTTTAGGGTTTAGGGTTTAGGGTTTGTGGTTTAGGGTTTGTGGTTTAGTCTTTAGGGTGTGCGTTTTAGGGTTTGTGGTTTGTGGTTTAGGGTTTGTTCACACAAAAAATATTATTTTTGATAAAAATTTATTTTCTCCTTTATTAATGTTAAAATTAATTACATCTTTAACTTCTAATTTTAGGGTTTATGGTTTGTGGTTTAGGGTTTGTGGCTTGTGGTTTAGGGTTTGTGGTTTGTGGTTTGTGGTTTAGAGTTTAGGGTTTGTGCCTGTGAGTGCAAGCGGCAGCCTAAAAAAGGCGTTTAAGGGTTTGTGGTTTAGGGTTTGTGGTTTGTGGTTTATGCGAGTGCGTGCAATCGGTTTAAATGTGTTATTAGAGGTGTAATAATTAAAGGTGTTTAAAGGGTTTGTGGTTTGTGGTTTAGGGTTTGTGCCTGTGAGTGCAAGCGGTTTAAAGGTAGGATATATAATTAAGGTTGAAGCTAACGAACGCATCCCTGCAGATTTAGTGTTTTTAAAAACCACCGAAAAAAGCGGCAGCTGTTTTCTACGCACCGATCAACTCGATGGAGAAACAGACTGGAAACTCAGGTACCTTTCTGCTGCTGCTCCTGCTGCTGCTGCTGCTGCTGCTGCTGCTGCTGCTGGTGCTGCTGCTGCTGCGGGTGGTGGTGGTGCTCATGCTGGTGGTGGTGGTGGTGCTGCTGATGCTGCTGGTGATGCTGATGCTGGTGGTGGTGCTGCTGCTGCTCCTGCTGCTGGTGCTGCTGCTGCTGATGCTGGTGCTGATGCTGATGCTGGTGGTGGTGGTGGTGGTGGCGGTGCTGCTGCTGCTGCTGTTGGTGCTGATGGTGGTGCTGGTGCTGCTGTTGATGTTGCTGCTGCTGCTGCAGCAGAAACAGCTAAGCTGCTGTTGTGACGAGTATATTGATGCCTTTGTTCTGTCTGCCACCTCAACCGGCATATCCTCTATGTTTGGTGTTTAGGGTTTAGGGTTTAGGGTTTAGGCTTAAGGGTTTAGGGTTTAGGGTTTAGGGTTTGCTGCAGGCGAGCAGTGCACCTGACGCAGCAGTTGGAGACAGCTGAAGAGATTGCATCGCTCGATGCTCAGATTTTGGCGGAGGCCCCTCGTCAAGATATCTACGAATTTACAGGTAGATTCTCCTTCTATGGAAGCAGCAGCAGCAGCAGCAGCAGCAGCAGCAGCAGCAGCAGCAGCAGCAGTGGTGGGGGTGTTGGGGGAGGGGAGAAAGATGCAGGGAAGAGAGGAGAGACCGGTGATGCAGCAGCAGCAGCAGCAGCAGCAGCAGCAGCATCAGCAGCAGGAATTCAAACAACACCCGTCATAGAGACTCACGGAGATCTTGCTGCTGCTCAGCAGCAGCAGCAGCAGAAGCAGCAGCAGCAACAACGGGATGATCAACCCACGGACAAGACCTCCTCATCAGGAGCAGCAACACCAGCAGCAGGAACAGCAGCAACAGCAGCAGCAGCAGCAGCAGCAGCAGGGCCAGGAGACACTATGGTGAGCTCTGCCTGAAGCTGTTTTGCTGCTGAGAAATAACTGGGGGCTCTCCACCGCACCCGCTCCTCCTTCCTACCCCTTGCTGCTGCTGCTGCTGCTGCTGCTGTTGCTGCTGTTGCTGTTGCTGTTGCTGTTGCTGTTGTTGTGCTGCTGCTCTTATCACTGGCGGTGCTGCTGCTGCTTCTGCTCTTTAGCTGCTACTTCTGCTGCTGCTTTTGCTGCTTGTGTTTCTGCTGCTGCTGCTGCTGCTGCTGCTTTTCCCGCTGCTGGCGTTGCTGCAGTTGATGAGGATGTGTTGTTCATGGTTCGATCTTCTCGCTGCTGCTTCTGCTACTGCTGCTGCTGCACCTGTTGCTGCTTCTGCTGCTGCTTCTGCTGCTGCTGCTGCTGCTGCTGCTGCTTCAGGTAGACGTGAGTGGGGGAGGCTGCAGCTATTGTGCGGTTGAGCCGCTGGGGTTAGAGCAGGTGCTCTGGGCTAATACTGTTGTTGCTGCTGGCACTGTCATTGGAATCGTCATTTATACTGGCAGAGTTAGCTCCTGCTGCTGCTGTTGCTGCTGCTGCTGTTGCTGCTGCTGCTCTTGCTGCTGTTGTTGCTGCTGCTGTTCTTGTTACTGCTTTTCTTGCTGTTGTTGTTGCTGATGATGTTGCTGTTGTTGTTACTGTTACTGTTGCTGCTGCTGCTGTTGTTGCTGCTGCTGTTGCTGCTGCTGTTGCTGCTGTTACTGAATTTGCTGCCTTGCTTGTGTGTGTGTGTGTGTTTCTGTCTGTGTGCATATAAACAAAACATTTACCGACCAACCAACCAAATAAATAACCAAATAAAATAAATAAATAAATAAATAAATATTAATTAATTAATTAATTAATTAATTAAAAGGAGACGCGTTCAAGCATGAATGCATCACAAGCAAAGACGAAAGTCGGGTTGTTTGATGCTGAAGTTAATATGGTGGCGAAGCTGTTATTTTGTTTGCTTTGTCTTCTTTCTTTATCTCTTGTTGCATTAAGAGGCTTCAAAGGCATTTGGTTCATCTACTTCTGCCGCTTTATGCTTCTTCTTTCGTCTATTATCCCTATCAGTCTTCAAGTTAACCTCATCATCGCCAAAACTATTCACAGCCTCAATATTGTCAAAGACAAAAAAATGAAAGGAGCCGTAAGCAAATACATACACCCCAAGGGCTAGGGTTTACGATTTAGGGTTGTTAGGGTTTAGGGTTGTTAGGGTTTAGGGTTTAGGGTTTTGGGTTGTTAGGGTTTAGGGTTTAGGGTTTTGGGTTGTTAGGGTTTAGGGTTTAGGGTTTAGGGTTTGGGTGTATGGCGGCTGTTTGATGCCTTTGCCTGTCTTTCTGTCTCTCCGTCTCCGTCTCTTTTTTAAATTTATTTTTGTCGCTTTTACCTCAGTCTCTCTTCTTCTCTATTTCTCATTACTGCTGCTGCTGCTGCTTCTGCTGCTGCTGCCGATGCTGCATGTAGTTGGTGCTGTATATATCTTTGCATTTGCTGCTACTGCTGTATGCCCTGCTGCTTCTGCTGCTGCTACTGCTACTGCTACTGCTACTGCTATATGCCCTGCTGCTTCTGCTGCTGCTGCTGCTTCCACTGCTACTGCTGTATGTCCTGCTACTGCTGTATGTCCTGCTGCTGCTGTATGTCCTGCTGCTACTGTATGTCCTGCTGCTGCTGTATGTCCTGCTGCTGCTGCTGCTGCTGCTGTTATGTGCAGTTGGTGCGGACCTCAACTCTTCCTGAAGAGTTGGGGCGTATAGGGTATTTGCTGTCCGATAAGACGGGGACATTAACTCAAAATGATATGCATTTTAAAAAGCTACATATAGGCAAGGCTATTTTTACTGAAGACAGCCTGCTGTCTCTTCAGCAGATTATTCATCAGCAATGTGCAGCAGTTGCAGAAGCAATAGCAGCAAATCCAGCAGCAATTGCTTCAGCAGCAGCAAACCCAGCAGCAGCAGCAAATGCACTAGTAAGTTCACCAGCAACTTCAGCAAATGCAGCAGCAACAGCAAATGCAGCAGCAACAGCAAATGCAGCAGCAACAGCAAATGCAGCAGCAGCAGCAAATGCAGCAGCAGCAAATGCAGCAGCAGCAGCAGGGGGCCCTCATAGAGCTTTGTTTAACGACGGGAGAAGCAGAAGAGCTGAGGTAGACAGCGCTGTCTTCGAAGTAATTAAAGCGATCAGCATCTGCCACAACGTCACGCCCGTCTATGAAGATCAGCAGGTCCGCACTTATTATTTATTTATTTATTTATTTATTTATTTATTTAATTTAATTAGTTATTTAGTTAGTTAGTTAGTTAGTTAGTTAGTTAGATATTTAGTTATTTATTTGTTTAGTTAGTTAGTTAGTTAGATATTTATTTAGTTATTTATTTATTTTATTTATTTAGTTTGTTTGTTTGTTTGTTTGTTTGTTTGTTTTATTTATTTTATTTATTTATTTATCTAATTTATTTTATTTTATTTATTTATTTATCTAGTTTGTTAATTTATTTAGTTTGTTTATTTATTTAGTTTGTTATTTATTTATTTATTTATTATGTTTATTTGTTTATTTATTTGTTGTTTGTTTCTGTTTATTTATTTTATTTATTTTGTTTGTTTATTAAAAAATATATTATTACGTGGATGACTTTAAGCAATCCTATAAATAAATAAATAATTTATAAATAAATAAACAAATTAAATAAATATATTAATAAATATACAAGTATACAAAACATATAAATAAATAATATTCACTTACTCTAATTAACTACTTTTCTTATAGATTAATTTATTATTGTCTAAGTTTGTTAATTACTCTACAAAAAATTAATTAATTTATTTATTTATTTAATAAATTAATTATTTTTGTACATAAAAAAATATATTATGAATATCCCAACACAATATTTATTAGTTTATTAATAAATATATTTATTTATTTATTTATTTATTTATTTATTTGTTTTTGTTACAGTTAAGGTTTCAAGCTGCTTCTCCTGACGAAGTTGCTCTCGTTCATTTCAGCAGCAGCGTTGGCCTGCGGTTGGTGCAGCGCGATGAACACTCACTCACTCTGCAGGTCTGCTGCTGCTGCTGTTGCTGCTGCTGTTGCTGCTTGTGCTGCTGTTGCTTGTGCTGCTGTTGTTGCTTGTGCTGCTGCTGCTTCTGTTGTTGTTGCTGCTGACGCTGCTGTTGCTGCTGCTGATGCTGCTTCTGTTGTTGTTGCTGCTGATGCTGATTCTGCTAGCATTCACTCACTCTACAGCTCTGCTGCTGTTGCTGCTGCTGCTGCTGCTGCTTCTGCTGCTTGTGTTTCTACTGTTCCTTTGGTTGCTGCAGTTGTTTCTCTGTTGTTTGTTGGCTGTGCTTGTTTGTTTGTTCTTGTTGTGTATATTGCAGTATATAAATAAATATATACAAATATATATATATATACTTATATTTACATATGTAACTTTTGTTTATCTGTTTAACAATACTCATTAAACGCTATTAGTACAATACACAACAACAACAACAATATTATTACTACTATCATTATGACAGTAATAACTATAATAACTATAATAATAATAATAATAATAATAATAATAATAATAATAATAATAATAATAATAATAATAGTATATTTATTGTTTATTTGCTGATTGCTGCTGCAGGGCCCTAACGGTTTGCTGCTGGAGTACGAAGTGCTGCACTGCTTTCCTTTTGCTTCCGACTTAAAACGCATGGGCATCATCGTCAAAGAAATTCATTCTAATAGAATCTTCTTCTATGTTAAGGTGCTCAAACCCTAAACCCTAAACCCTAAACCCTCTTCTTCTATGTTAAGGTGCTCAAACCCTAAACCCTAAACCCTAAACCCTAAACCCTCGTCTTCTATGTTAAGGTGCTCAAACCCTAAACCTGAAAACCCTAAACCCTCATCTTCTATGTTAAGGTGCTCAAACCCTAAACCCTAAACCCTAAACCCTTATCTTCTATGTTATGGTGCTCAAACCCTAAACCCTAAACCCTCATCTTCTATGTTATGGTGCTCAAACCCTTAGCCCTAAACCCTCATCTTCTATGTTAAGGTGCTCAAACCCTAAACCCTGCTGCTGCTGCTGCTGCTGCTGCTGCTGCTGCG